TGGGGAGGATGATGACGTCATAATGTGTGATACGGATCGCTGCACCCATGGCACGGCACTTGAGGTCGTCCATAGTTCGCATTTAACCTGGTTTTATAAAGGTTTGGCAACCTGCAAGGGTATCGATAAGGAGGAATGCCTTTGGCGAAATTGCACGATGTACGCGTGCTTGCGGTGTGTGGATCTGATTATGTATGATAAACTGTGGCAATATTGTCTGATGCACTATAATGCGATATTTCACAAGGATGTTCTGCCCGCGCAGGATCACCCCTGCTTATCGTGTTTTATGCTCACAAGAAAGGGTGACAAGACCCTTGATACATAAACGTGTAGGCGCATACCCTTTCTTTGGAATGGGGTGGCAGTCGGTGACTGTATTGCCTTTATATGCGAATAATTAGAGAAAGTGTCACTCCTCATCTTTAAAAAGCTTGTCTTCTCGACGATCTGTTGAATTTGCTCATCAGTCAACTTCTTGTCCAAGAAATCGGCGATTTTCTTCACCTGACCAGCATGATCCTTAAACGTGCATCGGAAACAAATGAAAATAAAAAGATTTGTACATAAAATTTGTATAGAAATGTATTTGTTATTTGATTGAAAACGGCGGTAAAGCGAGGGAGAGACACAAACTGAAAGCAAGGAATCGCGAGCGAGATGGGGGTGGAGGATAGGTGTAGGTAAACACGAGGAGAGAAAACGAGTGACGCCGACAGAAAAACTAGCATGATGAAACGGACTTACTGGAAGAGCCGAGCACTCCTGCTCAGGTTGTTTATGCATACTTACTTTTATCATATCTTCGTAGAATATGAATAGCACGTTCTCATCGTTCCTTCGATTCCAGAACTCCAGGTTGTGCTTCCAGTACGAACCAAACACGCCTGTAATTGTTTTAATCAACTAGGATTAGGTGTATCTTTAACCAGGTATTGTTTGATATCTATATATATTCTATTCGAGCATGGTCAATTATAGTTGCGAGTTCGTAATTCGTTCGTATTCAAGTTCGAGTGAAGAATCGAGTTCGTCTTCAAGCGAGTTCGTAATTACAGTGTGCGCATGCGCGAACTTTGCCACGAATTCTTCTGGATTAGGTCATTTATGAAATTTGTATTAGGAAATACGAGATACGTATAACCCGCGAAGCAAACTTGAAAACTTATCTATGTCATGTCGTGTGAAAAATTAATGTTTTGACGACAATAAATACAATAAAATATAATAAACGATAGAAGAAAATAATCGCCTATATTCTTTACACTTCGGTTGTATGTATATGGTCTAGTCTGAAGTATCTCGAAACCGTCGCATTGTTTACCATATCAAACATATGTATAAATATTTATCTCCAATCCTGTTAAATTATATAATCAGGAGTGGATAATAGAGAAAAGGTATTAAGGTTTATTAAGAAGAGGTATCGATACACAGTAAAGTGTGAGGACAAGTTGGATGTTCAGCGCTAGTTCTGATGTAATTTTTATTGGATTTCACGTAATCAATCATAGATAAATACGGGCATGGAAATGTTGAATTTCTTGTGTTTCGAGCCTGTCATACTCCTCTCTATTGTCCACTCTTGATATAATGTTAGTAAACACGAATATAATAAACGAAGTCATAACTATATAATTAGTCGGTAAATAGGCGAAGACGCCCGTGCAGTTCTAACACGTACAGTCGTCGTTGTAAAACTCCTGGAGCAAGTGCGAGAGCGGAGCAGCGCTGTAATCGTCGTCGGTGACACCCGGAACGTAAAACCCCTTCATGTCAAAATGGTATAGAGACGTGAGCGCATCCTTCGGGTTCCTAGAGACGTAGATGATCTAGAACAGAAATGTTCTCCGAGGTTCGCAGCGTACACGGAATACAAGGCCGAACACTACGTAGTCGTTGCGCGGAGAGGCGCAATGAGAGAAGGGGTTAGGTCAGAAAGGTGAGGAGAAGCCAGAAGAGATGATGAAAGAGAGGAGATCGAGACGAGCTGCGCGCGAGAAGAGAGCGCGAAATAAAAGAGATGAGAGTGAAAGACGTGCAGCGAGAACGGAAGAGTCACATTTACTCGGTCACGATTCACGTGTAGTATTTATTGATTGCGGTAGACCCCGGAATAATTGACTTTACACTAAATCACACACTGAAAATATTATACTGGTTAGCATAATAACACTGCGCCACTTAAAACGAATTAATCATGATGGCGTATAGTTGAAAATATAATTGTCCATCATCAAAGCAAAATCAATAGTTGACAAAGATAACCCTGGGGGAAATATGAAATTTCACCGAGGAAACTGCTAGCTGACGTGATCGCCATAGGAAGATACATGACAACAACATTATTGTAAAATCATTTTATGGGTCTGTTTCGTTGAATCTACCTGATTCTACATTAAAGTAAAATCTTGCGTTGACAGCCGCACAGGCTGCGTACAACGATACTGGAGCTAGTCAGTTCGACAAACGCGTATACCTTCGGGCGTTTGAGTCGATTCTTGATATCGTCGCACAGATACCGCAAGGGAATGTGCGTTTTAAGGAATCTAGGCGATGGCATCTCCTCAATGTCTTCAACTTCAATCGTTTCTGGCTCGGCGAAGAGAAGAGATAAGTTTATTTGCTCGATCATTGGGAATAATTTGTCAATCGTCTTGCCACCACTAGAGACTTTGCTGACGTCAGCGTCGTTTAAGATGTGTAGAATAATTGACTGCGCCCACGTGGTTCCTGCATCGGACGAGAGAGACGGAGTGAGAGAGATAACGGACAGGCATGACCATTTCACAATATGGCTAGATATAGGGCAGGCACGTGTATCACATTACGGGGAAGTGCGGGCTACCTGCCATCACGTGACACCACATCCAACACAAGCTAAGAAATGTCGTGAACATCGATATTCACATAATATATACGTTATAGCACGCCATATAATATGTGATCAAACATAGATAGCATTAGAGACTGCGACTTAGCTGGAGTTGTATATTTATGATATGATTTATAGGTCAAGCATAAGCAAATACGCGATTATGAAGGGTGTTGCTACACATACATTTTCTCAGCGTGCATGCAGGCTAACCCGCACGCGTTGTTTACGTTTATTTCACTGTAATTTGCGTTTACATCACTTCAACCAAGATGTCATGAAATCTAAAACTTGGCCAATCCCAACACTTCTATAAGATCTAAAAACCCGATCTTACCACATTTAATCCAAGTGGCAATAATCAGGTCGTCGTCTCTAACTTTCATGCTGCGTACTTGCGGCATATAAGCCAGCATGCCTTTGAACACCACCATGTCTTCGGAATACCGCCCATGATGGCGAGGCAATTTTGTCTTCTCTTCCGCCATGCTGCCGTCGTGTATATGCAGAGGGAACCTATGGAATATGACAATTCAATAAAGTATGGTTATGCTTAATTATTTTACTGCCAGAATCCTTATTGCCAATTAACTCACAAGCTAGATTTTTAAAATAATAAACTATATGTACGCACACACATACCCGCGCGCACGTGCACACACACGCGAGAGAGAGTGTGCGAGGGTGCGTGCGTGTGTGTGTGTGCGCGTGCGTGCGTGCGTGCGTGCGTGCGCGTTAGGGCGCTCATGTGTTGATGTAACGAGTAGTTTTTGGCATCAAATATAGTACTATAATACAAAGATATATTAAAGGCATCTTACCCGATCGGAGGTTTCCTGAGACGGTTTACAAATATGAGGCAATTAATTGTTGGTCTAAATAACGCCAATTAGGGTGTAATTTATCCAAACGATCGGCAAATAATAGAAAAATTTGATCCTAGTGTGAGTAGTGTGCCTCTGCACCGCCAACATACACTGGTTCTACAGCTCGTGAGACACATGTGATAGCCTCTCGCGACAGTCAACATACAAAGTTGGAAGGCCGATAGGCGATCAATCAATCTCACCGTAAAACTGGTTTAGGAGCATATTGTGCTTACAGCGCCGTAACCTTCGCTCAGCGAGACAGCTCGCGGCTTGACAAGTAATAGTGATGCCTATAGATGTTAACTCAGGCAACTCTTAGTCAACTCAGGCGCGAATTTAGGCCGGTTTGCACCGGTTTCCAGAAACCGGTCACAGGCCTCAAAATTCACCAGAATGCACCAAATATAGCCTAATTAAAAAATTCCCCGGGGGGGGGCATGCCCCCGGACCCCCCTAGCTGCAGAAGAACATATGGAAACTGGTCACCCAAACCCTCTGGATCCGCCCCTGAACTCATCAAATTATACTTATACTCGGTGATCATTTCCATGGTAAGAACTATAGAACTCTATAAATAGAACCATGACTACTAAGGAAATATTGGGACATGACCTTGAAACGGAGCTCAGCCTCATTTTGCAAGAGCGGTATGGATCTACTATCATTCTAAGGCTAAGTGTAGGAATAGGGAAAGAGGTACGAGACAAACCACTTGATGGAAAACAATAACTATATGAGTAACGTACCACACGGGCGTTTATTCTCAGCCATTACGACAGTGATACAGATCGAATAGAGTACGGATAGAATGCTACGTGTAGAGGCGAGGAATAGCCTAAAGGACGGCCAAGCTCCCCCCGGGTGTGGCAGGGCCGTCTTTTTATAAGCTCCCTAGCCTGTCGTGTCCTTGATAATTCATCGGGCCTAGTGATCGTAGAACCGCGACACGTTTCTCACGGTGTGACTTCGCGACAGGTGCCTTTTTATTATCTTTCCTCATTTCGTGTCGCACCTAAACGGTTTCGTTAGCTTCATTAAAAATTAACCCCACAGGTGGGCTGTAACGTAGACGCGGTTTGCATGTCGTAAACACGCGTCGCTCCATGCGTATTCTACTCGCTACAACCTTGCCAGAGACGAGATGATATTTTGCTACTGAATAATTTCTGATAGTGAAAAAAGTGTGTATAGTATATAAGTATGTATAAAAATTAGCATAGTACGAAAGAAAAATGCGTATTGTACAGTGTGTGTATAGTTTAGATATTGTTTTGTATTGAAGCTCTTAGGCTGTATTATAGAAGGAGTATAACTACGTAGCGAGCTAAATTCCTACAATCGTTATAAACTCATTGGCTTAGGTCTAAGACTCTAAGTAATAATAAAAATTCTGTTGTCGTGCTTCTCATAGAGATATAGGACATCATAAACGGTCACGCCCCCTCATTTACACAGGTTTCTAGTTATATACAGGTTTATAGCGGCTGCGCGCACATACACTATAGGTCAACGTCGCCAATAGATGGCCTCGGGGGCGGGGACTTGGATTATATTTAGACGGGGGTGTGAGGCTGACGCCTTGAAACCCTTACCCATATCTAAAGATCCTTGTGCTGGGAATAGGTACCAATGTCTAAGGATTTGGAACATCACATTTTCCTACAGTACAAAATATAATCAAGAGCGCATTAACCCCCTCAACAGTTAATGCGCTCTTGATATAATGTACAAACATTTTTCAGTCTGTTGAGGGATACTATATTACTGAACCATTACACCGATTGTATTATGTTGGAACCATTTACCAGCTACGTACTTTACAAGCACTTAATTGCTTCAATTGAAAGATCTTTAGACCATTTATCAGCTGTGTTTTGTGAAAATGGGACCCGTCGAAATTGTGAAAATGGGGGGGGGGGCGGGCTTTCTTGAAAAGTCACCTATCCCATCGGCACATCCCGTATATCCTTATATACACGTGAGTGCCCCGTGAATCAGGCGCGCCGGAAGCAGTTGGGGGAGGGGGGCAAAGACCTAAGGGGGCTCACGATCGTGTGTGCGTGAGCGCGTGTGTGCGATGTGTGAGCGCCTGTGTGTGTGCGCGTGAGCGCATGTGTGCTGAGCGTGTGTGTGTGATGTGAGCGCGAGTGTGCGACATGTGTGCGTGAGCGCGTGTGTGTGCGTGAGCGCGTGTATGCGACGTGTGTGCGACGTGAGCGTCAATCACGCAAAGCGCGCAGCGAAAACTTAAAATGAATGTATAAATTAGTCTTAGCTCACACATTTTTCTTTTTTCTTTCCCACTCTTCTTTTTTTTGGGGGAGGAGGGGCTTTTTGGTTTTGCCCCCCCCCCCACTTTTTGGATTGGAGGGGCGGCCCCCCCACTTCCGGCGCCTCTGGGGCCCCTTCCCCGGGGATGGCCTCGATAGGCTGCTTCATGTACGATTACAACCATGAAGCAGCTAATTAGATTCGCCACAAAATATATAGAGATTCTATAAAGTAGTAATAAAGCGTAGCGCGTCACGGCCGGGGGACCAGTGGCCCGCCTTAGGAAACGAAGCTCCTGGGTTTTAGTGTTTTTCGTGCAAATCGAAAGCTCCCCAATGCTAAATTTAATGCGCTAATTCGCAAAGATGAAAATCCCTTTTAAATAGTGTTATTTTGAGTGAATTTCAGGATTTTTCAATCATTTTTTTCCCTTAAACTTTACTTTTTTTTAAATCCGGATTTCCGGTAAAATCCCGAAATGTAGCATCTCAGACATGAATATATAGATTCGTGTATACATTTTTCTTCCCTAATAGAACTTGTATGAACATGTACATTCAAATAATAAATTCATTTCTTTATTAATTTAATCTTTCAAAACTGATTTTAACAAGTAATTTATTATATAGAATTAGCGGCGTTGCATTATTGTAACAATTTTGCTTGTTTATAAACTGTACAACAATATGTAATTATGTAGATACATTATAATATCATGTATAATAATTTGTCTTACACCTTATTGGGGTGCCAACTATCAACACAGCTGTCACCACACCCAGGCATGAATTTCTCTTCTTCCCGTTGACGACCACCAATGACACAGGGAAACACTGACGTGCTTTTGGGAAGGTACTGCTTCGAATGAAACACTATTTGTACGAAATTCATCTATCTATAGCTCATCTAAGGACACAAACTCCACGACAGATGGCGCTCTCGCTCATGGGCTCAATCTACGGTTGAGATCATGGTATCCTGAGTGTACTGCATGCAATTTGCTAAGGACATCGTCCTTCACATGAACATACTATTCGCATAGCCATCTATTGGCAGAATTTGTCTGTTTCGAAAAATTCCACTTTTCAAAAACTTATTACAAACTAATGTGCAAGAATTTTAGGTTGAACATTGGTGAATTATAATCAGGATAATGTATTTAACTTATAACCAGATTTAAACTTGCTTCCATGAGGTGTCAAACGAAGGCCTAATAATACATTTCAGGCTCAAATGATGATGCCACAGAATAGTAATATGTAAACGAACAAACAGTTTACTTTTCTCACATTGATATTTTAATAAATCTAGAATATATATATATATTCAGTTAATACAAATGAAATCATATCAACAAATAGTCACAAGGAGCAAGCATTGGGAACTTGATTGACTAATTTCATATTAACTAGATTTCCCTGCATGACTTCTGTGGGGGGTAACTTCAAGCAGATAAGAACAGAATGAGTGGACATGTCACACTACACTTATGACATACTGACCACAACCTTAGCGTGCATGCTACTTAGACATCACAAATTTCTGGCGATCCTATTTCACAACATGATGGATGAAAATGAAATCAGCATGGCTAATTCCGAGTGCAGTGCAAGAAAATGACACACACAGTGCAAACAAAAACCAACTATATATTATTGGCTTCTATAATATCCTTTCGGATTTTAGCTCAAATACTGGGAACACATTTCTCAAAGATTCTGTACAGAGCAAATCATGCAAACTACCAGCACGCATGTACACTTGCTTGAAATTGCTTCAAGTTACCCCCCACGACCGAAGCCAGCACCGTAGGTTTACCGAAAGCCGTGAGCTTTTGCGGCTTCTACTAAACACCTAGAGATTAATATGCTGCAGCTACAGCAAGACGAAAACGGCTGGATTTTAGGACCCAGTACGTGCAACCACACAACAGCTCTGAACAATCCAAACGTATTTAATATTAACTCAGAATTGGATTGTTCATCAAGAATGTACAACAGAACTCAAGCCCAAGGGTAAAATATCATTCCACCTCAATTCACAATATGCACAAGACGATACAGCTTATTGTGCTCAATTGTTTTACAAAGCACAACAGTGCCAGGTGGTACTTAAATACCACTTTTGTGCCTACTGCACACAATCTGCTCAATAAATAAGCCTTTCCAGAATCAGAATTCGTTCAGTTTCACTCTAGGTGGTTTTCTTCGTCAATTCTTTATGTCGGTGCGTTCAAGGAGTAAATATTTTCAAATGTTCTGCGGCACGGTTAGATGAGATCGGCAACATTCATCGGCATCTCCTCGATCGTAGTATTATAGAACTGTTCGATATCACGAAGCGTGCGTTTGTCATCCTCGGTCATGAAGTTAATGGCCACACCTTTACGGCCGAAACGACCGCCACGGCCAATCCTAAAATGAGTCGTAAGTGAGATGTTTTACTTTTTTGAATTAAATTCCATGTTTAAAGAAAACATTGCAAAACTAAAATATATACACACACAAGCATGCAACATTAAATGAAACTGTCAATGACACTGTAGCTCACCTTGGGTGTGATAGAAGAGGGAGGGGGGCAGGCCTCGAATTAAGCGACAAGAGGGGCAAGGCAATTTTTTGGGGGCATGTGACAAATTGCCTTGAATTTTCTCTAAAATGGATGGGCACCGAGGCAATTTTAAAAGGCATCAAGGCAACTCTCACAATTTGAGAAGAGCACCAAGGCACTTTTGTTTTTTTACCGTGTATGTAATGACTGTCTCCCGCCCACATGTACATCGTCTTCCGCCCCCATGTAAGCTTACACCGTAACACCGACCCCTGTACCCCCTCTGCTAATGGAAGTACAGTAACAGGGTTCAACATTAACTTTTTATTTCACTAGACCATCGGGCTAGTAACTGAGGAAAACCACTAGCCCTGACCTAACTTTCACTAGCCCAGACCCAGACCATTGTTATGGAAATCTTTCTGTCATCGTATGAATTCTACACAAGCTACACACCGTACAGATCACAGCCGGCCATTCTTGCGCGAGCGTTGTTTCCCGCGCTTTAAATCGCGCTCGGGCTGAGTCCACGTGCAGCATTTAAATATTTGTGTTTTACCACGGGCATACACAGGCGCACGATTTATCGATCGTCTACTGGCAGCGGTTGGCAGCAAGCCACGTTATATATTATTGTTTGTGCCGAAAGGTAGACTGTTAATACCAGTGGTATCCGGCCTCACGCTCTGCTAGACAATGTACACGCTCTGCGACAAACAGTGCGGCCGCGAACCAGTCTAGCCAGAGGCACCAACGGCAATTACAGAAAAGGGCAAGGCAGGTCACTGCCGTTGGTCGGGTTGGATTTTCAGGGGCAGTACGTCGATTGATAGGGGCACCGACGGCAATTGCCGTCGGTGCCGTCGGTTAATTCGAGCCCTGGAGGGGGGATATATAAAGCAAGAGTATATATGAGAGAACTCCCATTATATACTCTTGATAATGATATATGCATAAGTTTTTATGCAAAAAAAAATGTTTCAGATCTGAAAGTGTGAAATCTTGACGAGAGATGGCGCTACGCCTAAATGATCGCCATTTTGGTTTTCGAATATCGCGCAAATAAAAACAATAAAATATTCCAGTTAAATTACTGTAACGAAGAATCTAAAACACAATATTACACGTATATAGGTATGATTGTAGAGTTGTTGACCAGTTAGACGAAATAAACGTAATAGGACGTTGTCATCTCTCACATAGGAGTAACAACGGTTTTGGGGCTAGCCTTACACATTCACATACCAAAACTTAACAAAATCGAATGAATTTAGATGGCCATTTTCATTCCAACGATTCTTGAGTTATCGTTGACCGTAGGCAGACACTGAAATGCATAGTGAAATTGCCAAAAATCTACCTAATTTGCATAATTAAAAAAAAATCAAAACATGTGTGATATGTTTTGGGGCCAGTCCTTATTCATTCACATACTAGAAATGAGCAAAATCCGTTGAACATGAATCGACTTATGGGCATTTCCATTTTTGCCAAAAAGCGGACGTGGCTCGAAAGTAGGTCGACTGGCGTGCTCCAAAATAGGACGTTCAAACCTCTCCCATAGGAGTAACAACTATATGCAATTTGAAACATGTGGGTCAAACGGTTCTTGAGTTATCGTTGTCCGTAGCCAAATGTTGACGGGCGGACAGACGACACCCCATGGCAATAGCTCATCTTGAAGATGTCAAGGTGAGCTAAAAAGCAGCAGTTTCCAACCAATCACACAAACACATTTAAATCTAATGTCACGTAGTTCTTAGCATTTTCAAATAATACTTCATATTGACACAGTCATAACCTAACTAGGGAGTGTACCTGTGGATGTAATTCTCTCGGTTTGTTGGGAGGTCAAAGTTAATTACGAGTGAAACATGCTGAACATCAATTCCTCTAGCCAGCAGATCAGTAGTGATAAGAACACGACTGGAGCCAGTACGGAACTCTCTCATGATGACATCACGTTCTTTCTGGTCCATGTCACCATGCTGAGAAAATATGTAAATGCGTATCAGTCCAAATCAATACAATACACTCACTACACACCTAATTTTGCATCCTTCTCAAGGGCAGGCATGAGAACAGGTCGAGATGTTTTTGCAGGGAATAATTCAATTTGTGCCGAAGGCACGATAACAGCGTGCATAGCACACTGTCCTGCTAGGGGGGTCTTGGGGCATGCCACCCCAAGAAATTTTTGAAATTTGGAAAGGCAGATAAGCCATGTCCATAAATTCTGAAGAAAATTGTAAGTCCATTATGTTCTTAGTAAAAGACCAATTTCCTGACAAACAATTCAAAGTCTTGTCATTTTCTATGAAAATTTCAATGTTTTATGTGGTGGCATTCCTTAATTTACATTACATAGATACACCGCGATATTTATCTGGAGTTCGGTTACTTCTGTGTGAAATTTGACCTTTTATGAAGTTCCAATTAATGAAAGTGTCAAGTGTAGCTATAGCTCACCTTGGGTGTGATAGAAGAGGGAGATGATATTTAAAATTTGGTCACCAAAATGTGATCAATGTTCTTATTCCCTGTTTTATACTAATAGAAATTTCACGGTTTTGTTTCAGAGTTAGTTTTAATGCGAAAATAAATGTTTCAGATCTGAAAGTATGAAATTTGGGCGAGAGATGGCGCTACGCCTAAATGATCGCCATTTTGTTTTCAATTATCATGCAAATAAGAGCAATAAAATAGTCCAGTCAAATTACTGTAACAAAGAATCTAAAACACAATATTACACGTAGGTATGATTAGGTAGGTAAAATTTAAGAAAATCAAATAAATCTAGATGGCCATTTTAATTTTTGCCAAAAAGTGAGCGTGGCTCGAAAGTAGGTCGACTGGCATCCTCAAAAATAGGACGTTCAAATACCTCCCATTAACAACTGTAAGCAATTTTAAACATGTGGGTCAAACAGTTCTTGAGTTATCGTTGACCGTAGGCAGACACTAAAATGCATAGTGAAATTGCCAAAATCTACCTAATTTGCATAATTTATAAAAAATATCGAAAACCACTGTGCTATGTTTTGGGGCCACTATTCATTCACATACCAAAAATTAGCAAAATCCGTTGAACCTGAACTGACTTATGGCCATTTCCATTTTTGCCAGTGGACGTGGCTCGAATGTAGGTCAACTGGCATGCTCCAAAATAGGACATCAAAACCTCTCCCATAGGAGTAACAACTATATGCAATTTGAAACATGTGGGTCGTAGTCGTTGTCCGTAGCCAAATGTTGACGGGCGGACGGACGGACAATACCCCATGGCAATAGCTCATCTTGACAAAGTCAATGTGATCTAAAAATGGCATCCATTTTTACAAAAAAAGTAAAACTTACCCCCTAAACTGTTTATTAGTTTTTTTTGCATCAATCTCAAGAATGACTAAAATGAAAACCGAAACCCCGAAATCTGCAGAAAATTCTCATGCCAATTGTCCCCAAAGACCAACAAATACCAGAGAGCACATTTTCTTTTACCCGAAACAGTAAAACAATATAATACCATTGCCGAGACGGTAAAGTCACGACTGTGCATCTTCTCTGTTAGCCAGTCGACCTTTCGCCTAGTGTTGCAGAAAATGACAGCTTGTGTGATTGTGAGTGTCTCGTACAGATCACAGAGTGTGTCCAGCTTCCACTCCTTGAAAGAATAAATAATACAGTTTACTCATATGACTAACAAACCTGATCTTTATTGTTGTAACGGTAGATTTTAATATTTGTGCTCAGTCTGCAGTTCATTGTTTGTAAGGGTAACATGCTACTTGTCATGCCCTGGACCAGTGTTCTACCTTACACGAGACCAATAGATATTATTAATAAATAATAATCTTGATTTATAACGATCTTTACTGATAGAAGTAAAGAATATTTTGAGTAAATGTGCAACAAAAAATAAATTGGTAAGATTTTTACCAGATCGGTCTGGTGACACCAAGCATTTTTTTAGATCAGGCTTTTATCGCCACTCGTACACTGCCATGTAAAATGGCAAACTATACCTCTCGTTCTACAGCGATGTAGAACTGCTTGATACCCTCAAGGGTCAGCTCCTCCTTTCTCACCAAAATACGGATGGGATCTCGCATAAAACGCTTGGTCACCTCCAACACATCAGCTGGCATAGTAGCTGACAATAGGATTACCTGCAAATAGACAGCAATATTAAAACGTGCTGAAAGTATAACTACAGGGTACTTCAACTTCAGGACGATCAACCTTTTGTCTTACACCTTATTGGGGTGACAACTATCAACACAACTGACACCACACCCAGGCATAAATTTCTCTTCTTCCCGTTGACGACCTCCAATGACACAGGGAACATTGAGGTGCTTTTGGGAAGGTACTGCTTCGAACGAAACACTATTTGTACGAAATTCTACTATCCTTTAAAGTAGCTAATCTAGGGACATCGTCCATGGCATTTTTCATCGCACATCTATCATCCAATGACATGATAAACATTACCTGTATTGTCGAAGGCAGGTATCTAAACACATCGTAGATTTGATCCTTGAATCCTCTGGACAACATCTCATCAGCTTCATCTAATACAAACATCTTGATCTTGTCGACACCTATAAATTTAACATAGGCACACACTTATTTCCACACTGCTGGCTCTATAAATGTACTTTAAGCTAGGGGATAAATATTCCCCCTTCCTAACCTTTGACCCCCCCTAGTCTTTTAGGATTGTGCCTTTTTTTGTGATTTTAGTTTTACTTTGCTGGAATTTAACATACAACTGTTAAATATGCATCTAGCTCATTCTGTAAATTTGAGACTCAATTGTGAAAACTTGTTGTATGCAATAAATACTACCATGTTTAACAAAGCTCAGCATAGCGTATTATATGGTAATCAACCACGCTACCGTGTAAGAGAGGGCAGGTTGTCATCATTGCTTTGTTAAGTACATTTTAATTACATTGAGTAACATTAAATAGGGCCATAATAAAAATATTGTTTGTTTCCCCTCACCCGACCGACCCGCCAAAAAGGGGCAGACTCAAAAAATTGTATCAAATTGATCTTTAAAAAAAAAAAAATTGTATCTCTGTACATTATATAAATCTGTAGGCAATACATTATATGTACCAAGCAAAACAAACATTCAACATAAAAGGTATCTCCACACAAGCACACCCGAGCATGTAGACACCATGCTGAATTTGTAAAAAGACCCCCGCCCTCAAAAAAAGCTGACCTACCTACCCAAACTTTTCAGCCTGGGTCGGGCGAGGGCAAACAAATATTTTTTAATTGTGGCCTAGGTTATTTGTAATGTATATGACCTGGCTGCTTCGAATAATGTGCAACTCCTTTCAAATATGTATACAGCAACTCAGCAAGCATTAATTCCTTAAAAGATACCAAAGCTTTAATTTTTAATGCTTTATACCCTCTCCAACCCTATGAACTCTAAATGCGGAATGAAATTGATGGACAGGGGGGGGGGGCAAAATTAACCTTGGCTGCCGCAGGCAGGCCCGCGTGCCGTAAGCATGCCAGTGCTAGGGGGGTCTGGGGGCATGACCCCCCGGAAAATTTTAAATATTTAAGCCATTTTCCTGCAATCTGAGGCATACTGTGGGCCATATTCTCATGTCTGATGAGTGATGACACTATCTCAACCCTAGAAGTTAGGATTCAAAACACTTTTCATGACTTCAGAGAGCGTACACAGTTAGGTTACTATAGTAATAATACATGTATTAAAATACAGGTAAGAATTGCAATTTCTCACAATTTCACGTGTTTTTGTATACATGTTTGCAACCATACTTTCAAAATCCACGACAGCCATACTTTTGGCTATTTGTGAGTCTGGAAACATTGTCTTGAAGAGTTCATTTGCATGGTCTTCCGCCCTCAAAGGCACATTGTGTTCAATTAAATAATCCGTAAATCTCACTTCTGCGTCAAGACAGACCTCTATCTGCTGCAAAGAAGCTTGATATATTGGGTGTAGATTCCACTGCACCCGCATAGCACTTATGCTGTTGACAGACTATATGCCTCTGACAGTCACTCCTTCCTCCGTGCCCCACTTGAAAGTCTGTCTTGCATACCATGCAATAGCCATGATTAACACCGAGTTTTGACTTCACAAGTACAGGCCACATCTGTGTATATTCGTTCCTGAATTTCTGTAAGTCTGGTTTTTTGGATGGCAATGGCAATTGGACGCCATTCTCCCCACATGTTAATCTGATTAGCAGACAAACTACGCGACACCTTGCAGACAGCGCCTGTCTGACTAGGCTGTTCCATTTACCGTAGACATGCCAGATACAAAACGCATAGAAACACATTGTAACACTGAGCGATGGTAGGGGGGGTGCAAAACTAAGGTAATGGCAGAGCGTGCATTTTCAAGAAACGACTCGCGCAGTGACGGCTATTAATAAACTTGCTGCATCTCTACTACACCAGCGCGTGACCAGTGCCAACAATGTGTCCAAGCAAACGATGCGAACAATCAGTGCAAATTTTATACAGTGCAACTGAAATGAGGAATATAACCTTGCCGCTGCGGAATGTGGAAATTAAGCCTAGAAATCGTAATGCGTTGGAGACCCTGCCCTTGTGCATGCCAAGGTCATGGCTGTTCTCCCACGACTCTATATACCGACTCAGGGAAAAAATGTAAAATTTATTTTTCGAGGGCTACTTTTCAAGCTCGCGTGCATGAAAATAGCACTCTAAAATGTGGTCTCTATGTGGTTTGCATTGAACTCTATGCAAATTTCCGGGGGCTCTTTTTGGCATTTCGGGGGCTAAATTGCCCCGAGCCCCCGTGTATTTTTCCCACTGTACCGACTATCAAAAGCATAGGTGAAGCTATTTACATTTGTGGCACAATTTCAAATTTCCCCAACAGTTGTTTATTCTATATATACTCGAGTTAGGGAGTAAATATTCCACCTTCCTAACCTTTGACCCCCAGCATCAACATCCCAATGTCTTTTAGGATTGTGCCCCTACCACATCCCGAATATCAACTGTATGTCAAGCCTGTAGTTGAAAAACAATCTTATCAGGTAATAACCTGATGATACATTTAGTCCCATTAGTATTTACCGCAACATTTTTTTTTTTTATACAAATATACACCATAGAAAATTCGTGATGTAGTCAATTCAAGTTAAAGGGGGGCGGGGTAATCCCTTTTCCAACCTTTGACTCATGAGCCCCCAGTTTTGACCATCCAATGTCTTTTCAGATTGCTCCCCACATCCCGTTATTTCAAGACTGCTGTCTTAGAATTGCTGTTTAGATTTGTGCCCATATTGTTGACGGACGCACAGACAACCATACCATTCTACAAGCTGCATCTGACTGTCAGATGAGCTAAAAATGTAGATCCAAAATATGATTACTCTAATTATCAAGGATAAATTACATGTCATGGTTGCAAAACACGACAGCATATCTACACAAGAATGACAAAAAAAAACACAAAACTTACGCAAAGATCTTCGGTTAATCATATCATAGACACGTCCTGGTGTTCCCACAATGACATGTACGCCTAGTTCAAGCTTGCGCATGTCCTCACGCACATTAGTGCCACCAATGCAGGCCATGCACTGAGCACTCATATAATCACCCAGTGCAATAACGACCTTTTGGATCTAGAAAGAAAATCAATAACAGAATGATACCATGTACCAGGATATTTTCTAGGGGATCAGGTTCGACTTTGCTGCAATTTAACATACAACTGTTAAATATGCAACTAGCTCATTCTGTAAATGTGAGGCTCAATTGTGAAAACTTGTCATATGCAATAAATACTACCATGACTAACAAAGCTCAGCATAGCGTATTATATGGTAATCAACCACGCTACCGTGTAAGAGAGGGCAGGTTGTCATCATTGCTTTGTTGAGTACATTCAGTGACATTATAATATAGGTTACTTGTATTGTATATGACCTGGCTACCTCTAATAATGTGCAAGTCCTTTCAAATATGTATATAGCAAGCATTAATTCCTTAAAAAATGCCAACGCTTCAAGGTTTAATGCTTTATACCCCTGTGCATGCACACAAACCCTAACACAATTTTATGTACGTGCCTGCTGAGCCAATTCCCTAGTTGGTGCCAGTATGAGAGCCTGGCATTCCCGTACTGAAATGTCAACTTGCTGAAGAATTGCTATGGAGAACGTTGCAGTTTTCCCGGTTCCAGATTGTGCCTGGGCAATGACGTCAAAGCCTGCAGCACAATGATTGCACAAACACATTAAAAGGATGCAACACCCCAGAAGTTTAGGATATATTATGATAGTACGTGCATAAATAATAGTATATACCTACAAATTCTTATAACCATGCATTCACATTTTTCATAAAACAACAGCGAGTTTTGAAATCTTTATTGTTGGCTGCTGACATGACACACCACAAATTTGCTGACAGCCTAAAGAAGTTGCGATTTTTCCGATATATTTTGCATGTTACAGCCGGAGGGCTAATCACAAAAGTGCAATTAATATCATATTTGTACCGAAATGTTATTTAACCGAACGATTTCTATTTTAGGACAAATTCGTCCACATTATAACTGAACCTAAATGTTGATGCACAACGTTGAAAGCAGATGAGCTAGTAGTGACGCCGCCGTCGTTGTAATCAAAATCATTTTCGTGTTTAAGAACAAGAAAAATATTTCTAATGAATATTGAACAATGAAATTTTTTGTAGTGTAATCTAAGGCCACCCTTAAAAAATTGTTTGTTTCCCCTTTACCTACTCGCCTCTCAGGGTACCGAGTAGGTAGGTAGGTGAAAAATCTTTTTTATTTTGTTTTGACAAGATGTGTGTATGTACTATGCATATTGACTTTTATTGTATATTCTGTTTTGTGTATATGTTTTTGCAGAACGAATTTGATTTTTTTTTTGCGAAACGAAATAATTTTTGTTTTGTTTTAATCGGCCAATAAAATGTGTCGAGTAGCGGCGTTTTGGCGAGTCGGTCGGTAAAGGGGGAACAAGCAATATTTTATCTTAGGCCTAACCCTATTTTAACTGGAAATATGCAAGGAACCTAGGGTCAAGTATCCCTATAAATTAAAGCAACCGAATTAGACCATGACTCACTTATTAGCACTTCACACGTGTAATTAGTTCATTGAATTTTTAGTTCATCGTTCTTCTACAATTGCTCTTCATTGCTGCTGCCCTCCTTTACAACACACTGGGGGATTAGAGGAACACAATTGGGAAATCAGGAAACAGACTAATGATTTGAATGCAGTACAATGTGATGGTCACGATATAATAATGGAGTACCTAGACCATATCAGAGCCAAGACAGTCTATTCTAGGACATGCAACTCCACATATCCATTTGACCAATTTGCCTTAATGACCAATGACTGAATATTGATTGGCAGTGTAACAAAGTACCCAAGTGCTAGTGTAGAAATGTATGCTGGCTATGTTATTATCGGAGTTCTGTAAAGATACCTTTTTCCCTTGGCAGCAAATGACTGCTTCCTGGTAGCATTATCACCCTGCTAGCATTATCAGTGATATTATTACTACCAGAAACCAACTTGCTGATTACATGCCTTCAACAATATGACCATTATATAAAATATATGACAAATATATGACCAACTAGAAACGGGCAGTTGTCGCCAACTACATGTATCCCCCGTGATCTAGTATGAATGGAATATCTCTGTAAGGACGTAGAAGGCAGGTAAAGTTAAATAAGTCACAAAGACAAAGGTTTGTTAGACAACTGGTGTGCCTCAGATGTGGAAGTATATGGAATCTGGTTACCCTAGAAGGCCGAAGAGGAAATGTAAGTCGACGGTGAAGGTCAAACTAAGGTCAAGGACAGTGGTGGTTTTGCGACAGACATGCGACAGACCTTCTCCCCAAGATGTGTAAACATACCAAGTTTAGTCGCGCTAGGTCAATTAGGGGCTGAGTTAGAGAGCGGAAGAGAAATATGATCAAGATCAAGGTAAAGGTGAAATAAAGGTCGCAGTGACCTGGTGGGCAGTTTTTACCCGATCTCGGATCATCTTCAAATTTGGCATGAAGGTGCGTTATGGTAAAGCGAAGACGCCAATCGTTTTTGGTGTGGGCGGAGTCATCGTTGCCATGGTAACAACATTTTTGTGGAAATATTGTAGAACCTGTAACTTGTGCTGTTTTTACCGGATTGTCATGGAATTTGGCACACAGGGCCGATATATCATGTCCTATATATATTTGATGACAATCATAAATTTAAATATAAATTTAAATACAAATTTTAACACAAATGTAAATTTCATGGCAATCGGGTAAAAAGTGCAGAAGTTACAGGTTCTAGAATATTTGGACAAAAAATGTTGTTACCATGGTAACGATGACTCCGCCTACACCAAAAACAATAGGCGTCTTCGCTTTACGATAACGCACCTTAATGCGAAATTTGAAGATGATCCGAAAAAAACTGAAGCCGGTAGAGCGTTCACAAGGAAAATCTCTACGGTGGCGGCGGCGGCGCGACGATGCCAAACCCATAGTATCCCCACGAATTTCGTTTGGGGGATACAATAATATCAACAACCAGGGGCTAATCCTAACTGCTTAATATGGGCAACCATGGCAAGCGGGATTTTTTTTATATAGTAGATGTATAATAACATTACAATTTTATTCAGATAATAGATTAGAGATCTTATATGACCATTTTATTTTAAAACAGTGCCTACATAACGATAGAAACATAGAGATTTAATTTCACAATTTTTAGAGCTCTGCTAATTTGGACGTTTTATGAATTTGGCCGTTTTGCTAGGGGTCGTAATTTGGGCGCCGGTATTCGGTATGAAAAATGGCTTGGATTAGGCCCTGCCATCATAATTTAAAATATTACTGTGACCCTTTTATTCTTATCAAGATCCACTCAGTACATGTATGTTGTTCCCTGGCATAAATAGGATAGATGGACAGGGTCACTGAAAGTACTATGAAGGGGACTATATGCTGTGAATGATAACATGGTCAGTGGGAGGGTCACTGAAAGTACTATGAAGGGGACTATATGCTGTGAATGATAACATGGTCAGTGGGAGGGTCACTGAAAGTACTATGAAGGGGACTATATGCTGTGAATGATAACATGGTCAGTCATATCTGAGCTGCCTGTAAAAAGTAATTTTTGCATTAAGAATATTAATTTGTAATTTTTACAGAATACATTTACAATTCTCATCACCTCGTTTTTTTTAAACAAATATAAACTGTTCTTACCCTTGATGCAAGGCATAATAGCTCTCTGCTGGATAGCCGACGGTTTCTCAAAGCCATAGGCATAAATTCCACGAAGGAGGTTCTGCATCAATTTCATATCATCAAAATTGTCGACCACCTCGTCCCAGTTGCTCTGCAAAAAAAGAAAAGAAAAAAGAGTTAAAGTTAATAGGTTACTCATGCATTTGATAGGGATTCCAGAACAGTATAAAAGTAGTCAACCAACCACTCACCCAAGTGATCCAACTCAACGGATGACATCAAGATAATTAGCAACTACAAATGTACATACTGCCATACTGGTTTCTATAAATTGATAGCTAAACAGATATGACATTAGCAGCTGGCTAATAATGGCACACAATAAACTTCACACTACCCTATGCTGTCTGGTCATGAGAATTGAGCTGCACTATTGTATAATAAAATTTAATATGGTAGGAACCTAATCATGACAGATAACATCAATGGTGAAGCAAAAACAAGATATTAACATCGGTTTTTATCAAAGCAGTCATCACACACACAAACTAGACAGAGGGCACTCACGGAGAGTGCATACCTCCGCGAGCATGTAACATGTATGTTACAACGCTGACTACGTGCTATCGATCGCGCCGCGCGGACTGGACACACACACACACGAGAGCGATTGCATGACCTCCGTTTGCGCGGAGGTGATGATCACAATTGCTAGTGGTACTCATACCTCAATAATGCTCTCAACTTCTGTGCCGGGAGGCCCATCAAATCCAGCTCTGTCGTCATCACCACGCTCAGGTATGTCTCTTGGTGCTGGCTCTTCACGTTCTCGCTCATTGGACTGCCTGCCAGCATATTCAGGTGGCGGTCTGACAAGCGAGAATGTCTTACAAATCACAAAAAAGCAGCAACTATACCACGTCACAATTGCGAAAAAACTCTTTTATATTGAATACCATATGGAATATAACAACAGTCAACAGTTGTATAAGACTAATTGATCTAAAACTGCATCATGACCAAATATATATTGTAAATCTGTTTGCATGGCAGCAGTGTAGAAAATGAGGATATAGAAAGGGAATGAGAAATACAATCTGGAACTCTAAGAGCAATCATGCCCCGCAATCTCATTCTAGAGCTATACTAACGCTATGTACGCTCTATGATTGCGATTTACACTTTGCTTAGCTCTAGTAACTATAGCCCGCGTGCAGTTGCCGCAGGGCTATAGGATCTTCTATTACGGATGCTCGAGACCAACTTAGTAACGGTTACTTGCGGCTATAAAACGTCTGTGATAGGCAATTAATGCCTTCTATCCGAAGTGAATATGTCTTAAGTTATATCCGCAACTAAAATTTAACCTCTAACTATCGCTCATAGGGTCTATGTCCCCCAGGGTATAGCTCCAAGAAACGGTATTGCTAGGGTTAGAATACCGTTTCGAACACAGGCTGCAGCTAAACACGTAGTTGCCTTATATTCCAAGTATCGCCAAAGAACACCACACATGTGATATACCAAATGAATCAGTAAACGTCCACCTTCTTGTAACCATCAGTGCGCTAGCGATGCGCTGGGTACTTTACGGGTTACAGCATACTTTTGAGGACGAATGCAACCCAAGATTTTATGAATTTGCCACCATTCTGTTTGCTAATCTTCCGAAACTTGTGACTAAAAATCCGCAATGGATGCGAACCAAAGGAAAATTAAACGATCTGTCGGTTCGTCATGTTAAAGCCGACCCCTACATCCGAGAAACATGTCATCCAAGGTTTTTTAGACAAAATGCGCCCAGAAATTTCTGAACATCGTTCACTATTGCTTTGCGTGTGTAGATTGCTTGAGAGCGCATCGTACTATTTCTGTAGTATTTTTCTAGCGGAAGTCTATTCGGTTCGAGTTTTCGCGTGCCTTGCTAAACATGGGGTTAACAGCTGATTTGAAAAGTTGATGATGCTGTGAGAATTAGCAGATTATACCGTGAATTAAGAGATACATTCAAGTTTAAGTAAGGAGGACAACTGTGAGTTAACGTTCGATATTTTAAACAGCAAGTCAATAGGTGGTAAGGAATAGTTTTATTTGAGATAATACAGACGTATTTCATCTAGATCTGCCAGAGGTGAATAGTTTTTTGTATGAAGGGTGGTCAGGCTTGTAAATAGATCAATCCGCCCACAGCTCTGGTCGGGCTACCCACAGGCAGCTCCTATATCTTAAAACACGATCCCCCACAATGCGAGCGACCGAAGGTGTGGAGAAGGTAGGTACAACAATGTTCACGGACTTTATCAACGGACCTTTTTTAGATAAAAAATGTGAATGGTTTCAATTAAAATACATGTGCATACACGTTCTTTATTTTGTATTGTTGTCTCCGGCGTCTTTGGCTTGAACTGTCAATGCATCGTTTTACAGCGTATATAGCATATATCCAGTATTTGTGAAAAATTAACAGTTCCCACACGTGTAGATACAAATGCGCGGCGACTTGTGTTTAGAATTTTGTCCTATCAGGTGGCGCGGCCCCATTGCCCATGACTTCCAGCGCCAATGGACCGCCATTTGTAACGTGTGGGAACTGTTAATTTTTTACCTGGCGACGGATTTTACTCTCCTAACGGCTGTCAAATATCATCGACAGTGGGAAACATATTACAGGGGAGGTTAGTACACCAAAGTAGGAATAAACGGGTGATGTGCATATTTTTATTGAGAATGCAAAAACTTTCATTGATATCGGACAATTCCCGGTGGAAATTGTGCTGTCCTACCTTCCTCACAGCGCTTCGGTGCTCGCATTGGGGGATCGTGTTAGATATACGGTGCCTAGTGGGGACTACCCAGGGTACTGCCGGAACGTAACCTGGTAACTATTTGATATGGTTAGGGTTAGGGTTAGGGTTAGGGTTTTTGCATCATTCCCTGATATACGGAAAGTCTGTGCATCTGTTGATAATACACAGAAATCTGTGCATCACTTCGTGATACCTAAGGTGCCTAAAGTGGATTTGCGCCCTGGACATCATCTCTATCCTTGAACCCATCAGAGCATATGCCGCAGCTTTAATACATTACAATAGCATTTTAAAGGAAAACTCAGCTGTACAATACTAGCTCTTATAATATATAAGTTTGAAAGCAACATGAGCCATTTAGAAGCCTTTTTCGAATGATAGTTATTAGATTGTGAAACCCACAATGATGTCTACGGAACCGGCAGCCATTTTTGCTGAATTTCGAAATCGAATTCATCGCATGAATTGGACACTGCACACGATAAATAACTCATAAACTTACATGAGAGTGAAACATAACAAATTTTAATACAATCCTTGCTAGTTATACATAAAGAAGGTACATATGTCTAGTATAAAATGATTAATCGCACTTACCGAGTATCCTCTCCTTGGAATGACATGCTTCTCCAAAAGTTAGCTCACAAGAAAGGAACTAACCGGCGACTCACTACACCCATCATAGAAATAGAACCAAATTGTTGCGCAACAGTCGAAATTTTATTGTAAGTATTACATAATTACACTTTTCTTTTGCATATTATGAACCAAAATTAGCGTCACACTTTACATCCTAAATTAAAATGACGTATTTTGCGTGCATGAGAATTAACTATGAATAATCTCATTGAAAATATAGAACCACGTGTCCCGCGGAGTAATAATAACCCACGTGGTTCTTTACGTGGTCATCTCATACCGTCATCGTCAACGTCGGTGCGCCAGCTCATCAGACCTCTTGTTTATCATCTAGTGCGCGTGTATTTTTTACTATTATATAAATGATTAAATTTATTTATTTATTGCATTTTAGTTTATATGCATTTGATTTGTACTAAAATTAAAGTTATTTCTATTCTGCCATAATATCAGGACTGGAGTGTATATTATACGCTTCTGACAATATGGCTTAAGCAGTTTTATCATAAATTATTCGTTATAATATTTTGATTAAGGCAGTGGCTACGGGTACGGTAGCCGTATCTACAGCCGTAAACGGACAGCCGTGTCTCGACCCAACAGCTTCCACATAGTACCCAGCAATGATACGCGGATCACTTGTTGTGTGATATACTTGTTGTGTAAACTTTCAACCACATAATATTCCGTGAGACGCCTATACGGTATCAGGACAAATACCCCCCGGACAATTACCCTCCATGCCATTCACCTCCCGGACAATTACCCCCCGGACAATCACCCCCCGATCAATTACCCCCAGACAATTACCCCCGGGACATTTACCCCCCGGACAATTACCCCGCGGACAATCACCCCCGGAGATTTACCCCCCGGACAATTACCCCCCGGACATTTAGAGGAGGAGATAGAGGACGACGGAGAA